CGAATATCGTTTGATGGCTGTCAAATCTTGTGGGAATCTTCGCCGACGCGGACCACTTTTCTGGACATGATGCTCTATTTTGACGACCTAGGACGTCTTCAATGGAGACCATTCCGCAAAGCGAAGAATCACCTAGAACGAATTCCTTGGATATCTCATCATCCCCTCGATGTTAAACGCGGTACCTTTATCGGTGAGATGTCACGGCTAGCCGTGCTGAGTAGTACACATTCCGTCTACTTGGAGAGCATAAGGGACCTGGTAGCCCTTTATGTAAAGCGCGGTTATCCGCAAGACCTTGTTATGGCTTGGACTAAGAAACACCTTGACGAACGTTGGAGTAAACGCTTCAATGAGAAAAAGCAGGAGGATGCTGACGGCGTTCTCGTCCTTAAGTCTGAGTTTAACACGGCCTGGAATTGGTTCAATGCTAAAGAGCTTGGAGAAACCATTCTCGGTTACTGGAAGACTTGGTATGAAAAAGCCGAGTCGGGGGAACTTCTGTCCGCTCTGGACCCAGAATTCCCTCCGCCCATGCCGGACATGGCCGGACTGACTGAGGTCAGGGGCGAGTTTCTAACGAAATTCGCCACCCTCGATGGGGTCGTCGACGATAACGGCGACTCTGTCGACGGGGTCGTCTATGTTCCGGATGTGCGGAAAATCAGCTTAATCGACCGTCGAATGATCGTGTCACGGAAACGTACACGAAATATGTTTGACTTGACTAGTTCTTGGAAAAGAATGGTGTTCCAGAAGTTGGACGAACGTGTACTTGATGAACGGGATCCGGAAGCCGCAAGGCAACCGGAACCGGGACCTTCGGTCCCGCAAGTACAAGCCACTACCCTGAGAGCAGAGGCACGCATCCGAGATCGGATAGCGCAAAATCAAGGAGGAAATCCTCGAATCATCGGTCAGTCTGATGACGTGATCATCCTGCATCAGCGTTCGCCTTCCCCAAACAAGCCGTTTTTCGGCTAAGTAAAACACGCTTAAGAATAGAACACCCGGACCTCCCCTCGCTAAATTGGGAGGCGGATCAAGCCTGGATAGGTGGGAGCTTCGGCGCCCCTGGAAAACCACCCTTACGGCACTGAGACTCCGGTCTCGGGATCCGAATACCGTGAAAAATGTAGCGGTACGACGCGACGATAGGCCGATCCCCTCTAGAGTAGAGGCCCGTCGTATCTGGCAAAACCTCGCACCGTCTATACGTAGCACGCAAACCTTCGCACCGAGGCCTCGCAGCCATGGGCGGACTGGTCTTAGTTTCTTATCACCCGCCGGTAGGCCTTCGGGCCAGGGGCGTTTGAAACTACCTATCCGTCAAGACCGGGCCTGGCCGGAGGCAAGCCGGCAGGTGTCGTTGCGACGACAGACGTGGCAAGCCTTTGGGCTTGCCGTGGTAAGCCGACGGTGTCTGGAAACTTCGGTCACCTTTAACGCGCGTGTGTTCTTTTGATCCGGTCCAGTTAGTGACGAGGATACTTGGAGACGGCGGAACGTCGCTTGGGGATACCCCCCGACTTCGGGAAGCTGTGGTGAGCGGACGATGGGCCCCAGCCTGAGCGGCGCCCACGAACTGGCCTATCCCCAAAAAACTGGCACCAAGGGGCTTGGTGCCAGGTTTTTGGTGGAACGAGGTCCATGGAGCCATGACTAGGCCGTTTCACCTGGAACGAGCACCTGGCCCACGTGCCCCAGGGTCCTCCGCACACCCTCATCATGGTTTGGAGGCCGTTGCTGTCACTGTTCAAGAGCTATGGACCTCGTTCCATTTTTTGAGGTTTTGAAAATCTGACTATTTGGCAAATACCGATAGCTAGATGCTGGAACGAGGTGGAACGAGGTGGGTTTCTAGGTAGGTGCATCTCAGAGCTACCTAGGGCAGTTGAGAGCTAGTGAATAGCTGCTCTGGTTTGGGAGCTGTTAAGGCTGCAATGTGCCAGCTCAAAAACAGTCATCCGCATTTTTGGTGATTTGGCACCTGTAGATGATGTTGGATGCTGGAACGAGGTGGGTTTCTAGATGCCCCAGAATG